CTGCAGGAGGCGCAGGAGCTGGACGCGCGCGGCCGCTCCATCGCCATCGCGCGCTGCTACTCGCTCAAGAACCGCCACCAGGACGTGATGCCCTACGACGGCAACCGCGTGGTGCTGCGCTCGGGCAAGGACGACTACATCAACGCCAGCTGCGTGCAGGGCCTGTCGCCCTACTGCCCGCCGCTCGTGGCCACGCAGGCGCCGCTGCCCGGCACCGCCGCCGACTTCTGGCTCATGGTGCACGAGCAGAAGGTGGCGGTCATCGTCATGCTGGTGTCCGAGGCCGAGATGGAGAAGGTGGGGGCCGGGCGGGCGGCGGGCGGGGGTCCCCATGCCCCGCTCCCCCGGCCTCAACCCTCCGGTTCCTCCGCAGCAAAAGGTGGCGCGCTACTTCCCCACGGAGCGGGGCCAGCCCGTGGTGCACGGCGCGCTGCGCGTGGCGCTGAGCAGCGTCCGCGCCACCGAGACGCACGTGGAGCGCGTGCTCAGCCTGCAGTTCCGGGACCAGAGCCTCACGCGCTCGCTCGTGCACCTGCACTTCCCGACGTGGCCCGAGCTGTGCGTCCCGTCCGGGGGGGCGGGGAGGGTCAGGGTCACCCACCCTTGCTCATGCGCACTCCCTCCTCCCCCAGAGGCCTGCCCGACAGCCCCGAACACCTGCTGCGCTTCATCCAGGAGGTGCACGCGCACTGCCTGCACCAGCGCCCGCTGCACACGCCCGTGGTCGTGCACTGCAGGTAGGGCCGGGCTGGGCCGGGCCGCCCTCGCCGGGGGCGCGGTGGGGCGGGGTGCGGAGACCGGGCTCACTCACTCGCTGTGACCCCCCCCCCGTCACCCCCAGCTCCGGCGTGGGCCGCACCGGGGCCTTCGCGCTGCTCTACGCGGCGGTGCAGGAGGTGGAGGCGGGGAACGGGATCCCGCAGCTGCCCCAGCTGGTGCGGCGCATGCGCCAGCAGCGGAAGCACATGCTGCAGGAGAAGGTGGGTCCGGGGCGCGGCCGGGCGCGATGGGTCACCTCGGGCCTCGCCCGCGCTCACGTCAGGCCCCTCCCGCAGCTGCACCTGCGGTTCTGTCACGAGGCGCTGGTGAGGCACGTGGAGCAGCTGCTGCAGCGGCAC